GCGCAAAACTATCCACAGAAGCTTCAGATGATTTCTGGGACAATTCATCGTCTGAAAAAGTCGACATTTCCCGACTGACAACGAAACAGTTCTCAAAAAAGTAATATCTGTGATTCTCTGTGCAACGAACAAAGATAGTTGTGAACAGAGCAAAGCATAAGTTTGTTGAGCCTTTGACGCCATGATGACGTTTTTGCGAGCTCGGCTGGAACATGTTTTCAGCAATGGCGGACGATTTTTGGACGACTTTGAAGCGGTAAAAATTGATCCTCGAAGGTTTGTTTTGAGTTTTTAATGGCAAAAAGGGTCTTAACTTGACCCAATTCAACATTTTGTGAACAATTTAGGCCAAAATAAAATGGTCAATTTTCGTCTCAGGGGCACTTTAAGAGTAAATTATGGTATCTAGCCAAAGGTAAAACCCTCTACTGACTGGGAACACAAAATAAAGTAGATAAAATAATGGAAGACATGATGATTTGCGGTCACGACAGGACTTGATGACATCGTGGAAATTTGCGACTGCCGGGAATTTCTCGACCACTAATTTGTCTACTTTTATAATGGTTTTTTTTTTCTTTCGGAAACATGACTGTTGTCCCTTGTGATTATCAAACAGTTAAAAATTAAAATTTCTTTGAACGAGGCGGTAGATGACCGGACAAGATGTCCGGCCACCCAAGGATTTGTCCGGACAGTACCCAATTTTGAGCGGACATTGTCCGTTGACCGGCCGTTATTTGCAGCCCTGCTTACGCGACGATGTCATGTAAAAGAGATTAATACCAGTCAAGCAATGTTTAAAATGTTGGGCAAGATTTCCGTATAACCCCATACTTCATTATGCATTCTATTCTTGGATAAAGGAAAGAAGAGGCAAAACAACAGATTTCCTTTGGGACTACGGCTTTGTTTAATGATTGGTATGGGGTTATACGGAAATCTTTCCAAATGTTGTATTAGAGCAATCCTTGACCAATTCTTCCACACGATTTCACCTCCGGGCCAGCTCAGTAACGAGACAGTTTTTGTCTTCACAAGTTAAAACAAAAATATGCAAATGACATGAAATTGCCCCGAATATTCCCCCCGGGGAGGTTCGCCCATTTACGAGATTATGACACCTTCCTGATTTATTAACCTTTATTTTAAAATACGTTTTTCTAAATAAGTCGGATGCTTTTTGAGATTTTTAATTTTTTTTTTTGTAAACATTAGTTAAAATGCCTAACTTCAATCTAGTCCAAAAAAAAGGACTATTTTTTCGGCCTCTGAAGGTAGGAAGTAATCTTAACAGACTGCACGCCATGACTACAGATGAAGACCCCCTGTGGTCAGACATCTCGGAAGTGATCATCTTGCGTTGAGATTCTGAATGATTGGCTTACCATTGCTTCAGACCGAAATTTTTTATACTAAACCAGATCTTTCACACGGACTTACAGGTTTATGTCCAAAAGATGTAAATTGACATAGATGCATGCTTTGTCACAAATTCGTTCCTCATCTTTCTCTTAATGATATGCAGAGACGAAAAGCAGCTCTTCCCAGTCCCACAAGGCTGCAGTCAGTAGGAATTAACGGTTCACCAACTGTTGGAGCAAAGAATCCAGTGGAAGTGAATAAAAAGGTAGGTCTAGGTAATTTTTTATTTCTCTGAGTACTGTTCAGTTTTGGTCCCTTTACGGTTAAAGGTTTTTTTTTTTTTGGCCTTTGGTTTTCGTTTTTTTCGGCCAAAAAAAAAATTAAAGCGGGTTTTTAGGATTTGACATCCCATCTGATCTTCAGTTTTTCCATTTACACCTGCCTAGTCTCTACTCTCAAGCTGGTAACCTCTCAAATAGCCTCTCAAAAGGGACTTATTATGAGGAATTTGCGCCAAACCAGAAAATATTTTGGGGTTGGAGGCTGCGAATTTCAGATAACGCCTCAGTAAGACTTTGACTTTGCACTGAAGAGCATTAAGGACAGGGTGTGAAATGTGCCTTCCAACGTATCTGCGAGAAGAGGGTCCAGTGGTAATTTTGGACTGTGCTGCTTCTTTTTTTTTTTTACGAGTCAATCCCTCAGAGGTGACTCATTTCTAAAAAAAGATTTCATTTGCATTTTCGAATTTACCTCTCGGCTTTCGTAACTTCCGTTTGCAGCTTTTGATGTTTTCTAATGGTGTAGCCTTTTGCAAACGTAAATCTTCCCCAGAACACTCTTCTGTAAGATTTCTGCAAATTTTCCAGGTGCGAATTTAAATAGAGATAAGTGGACTTATTTATGTCCTTCACAGCCTTTCTTTGAAATGTCGTACAGCACTTCCTTAAAGGAATTCACAACTGCACCCCAACATTAACAAACACTCTGATGAAACTGACATAGTTAGCCTGTATGCTCAATGTATTTCCAATAAATCACTGGGTTGTGATGGTAAGTCTTGGGTATGGTTGGTTTTGTTTGTAATAACATTTCTGTGCACTTTTCCTGTTGCTTATGGACGACTATACCTCCCTCGACAGCCCAACCACAACCAACAGGTAATTCCTTGTCAAATACTGAATCATTCCCTAAAGAAGCGTCTACTGTAGAGGCTGAATAACCTAAAAAAAAAAAAAACAATGAATAACATAAAAGAGAAAAAGGAAAAGAGAGGGAGAGAAATATCCAAGAGAAGCATTGCAGCAGTGGATATGGTGCTGAAGTTTACATCTCATTCTCGTCTAGATTATGGTGGCCCTTTATGATTACAATCCAGAGAGGCAATCACCACAAGATAGTCCAGATTCTGAACTCCCGTTGAGAAAAGGACAAATCTTCGCTGTTCTTGGTGACATGGTGAGTAGCAAGAAGGCATAACAATTTAGATACAAGCAACAGAGAGAGAGGAAGATTTTAAGATGTTGCAAAAAAACCCTACGATGAAATGACAATTTAGATATCGAGAGGAGCGATAAAGGACAGATCTGAATGTCTTCTCCTTTGCCAGGCCCCATGTGGTCCAGTGGTTCAATTTGCGGCATGCAACAGGGCTGTATTATAAAGCGGGATCAGGGTCAAAATCCAGTTCCAAATAGGAACAGGCACAACAAAAAGTCAGACATCAAAATAGGAACAGGCACAGCCTATTAGGAACAGGCACAGCCTATTAGGAACAGGCACAGCCTATTAGGAACAGGCACGGCATAATAGGGACAGGCACGGCATAATAGGGACAGGCACGGCCTATTAGGGACAGGCACGGCCTATTAGGAACAGGCACGGCCTATTAGGAACAGGCAC